CAAATTTTCATTTCTTCAATCTATCAGTTTTTCGATTTATCAGGTTTTTGATTGTTCAATTTTTTCAATTTTCGATTTTTCAATTTTTGGTATTATTTCTAAATTTTCGTTTTTTCGATTTCTCGATTAATAGACTATTCTACTTTTCGATTTGTGGATTTTTATTTTTGGTGCTCCCATTTCTCGTTTTTTTCCACTTCTCAATTTCTCATTTTTTTTAGTTTTTGCAACTCTTTAATTTTTTGATTTCTGAAGTTTTTGATTTTTCCGTTTTTGAAATTTTCGGTTTTTCGATTTTTCAGGTTTCTGATTTTTCAATTTCTAGATATTCCAATTTTTCGATATTTCAGTTTTCCAATTCTTCAATGTTTCAGTTTTTCGATTTCTCGATTTTTCAATTTTTGGTATTTCTAAATTTACGAATCTTCGATTTCTCGATTAATCGATTTTTCTACTTTTCGATTTTTAGTTTCTTCAGTTTTTTTGGTTTTCCCATTTCTCAATTTTTGGACTCGATTTTTTACTTTTGCAAGACTTCTATTCTTTGATTTCCCAGGTTTTTGATTTTTCAGTTTTTAAATGTTTGGTTTTCCTATTTTTCGATTTGTAGATTTTCTAATTTTTCGATATTTCAGTTTTGGGATTTTTCAATATTTCAATTCTTCAAGTTTACAATCTTTTGTTTCCATATTTTGTTTTACTTCTCGGTTTTGTGATTTTTCGATTCCACGATATTTCAGTTTTGGAATTTTTCAATATTTCGTTTCTTCAATGTTTCCTTTCCATTTTTCGTCTTTTTACTTTTTCAATATTTCGATTTTTAAAATTTTAGATTTTTCAATTTTTCCACTTTTTGATATTTCAATTTATCGATTTTTCTATGTTTCGATTTACCTATTTTTCGATGTTTCAATTTTTCAATTCTCGAATGTTTCAGTTTTTCAATTCTCCAATCTTTCAATTTTTCGATTTTTAAAATTTTCGATCTTTCAATTTTTCGATTAATCGATTTTTCTATTTTCGATTTCTCAATTTTTAGATTATTCCATTTTTTTGGTCTTCCCATTTCTCAATTTTTCGACATGTCGATTTCTCATTTTTGCAACTCTTCAATTTTTTTATTTGGCGGGTTTTTGATTTTTCAAATTTTTAAATTTTCGGTTTTTCGACTTTTCGATTTGACGATTTTCAACCTTTAGATTTGTAGATTTTTCAATATTTCGATTCAAGTTTCCAATTTTTCGTTTTCATTTTTTGTTTTACTTTTTCAATTTTTTGATTTTTTAAATTTTGGATTTTTCGACTTCTCAATTTTTCTATTCCTCCATTTTTCTTTTTTCTAATTTTCGAATATTTTATTTTTCGATTTTGCAATTTTACGGATTTTAGACTGACATCAATTTTTTCGATTTTTAGTTTTTCAGTGTTTCAACCTTCCATTTGCAATTTTCCGATTTTCCACTTTTTCGATTTTGAAATTTTTCGTTATTTCAATGTTTTCCAATTTTTTAGTTTATTGATTTTTAATTTTTCGATTTTTCAATTTTTCGATTTTTCATTTTTTCGATTTCTCGATTAAGCGATTATTCTACTTGTCGATTTGTGAATTTTTTATATTTTTCAATTTTTTGGTATTCCCATTTCTCGTTTTTTTCCACTTCTCAATTTTTCATTTTTTCGTTTCCATTTTTCGTCTTTTGACTTTTTCAATTTTAGATTTTTCAATTTTTTTATTTATCTATGTCCCAATGTTTCAGTTTTTCATTTCTTCAATGTTTCAGTTTTTAGATTTTTCCGGTTTCTGATTTTTAATTTTTTTTAATTTTCGGTTGTTCGATTTCTAGATTTTCCAATTTTTCGATATTTCAGTTTTAGAATTTTTCAATATTTCGTTTTTTGAATTTTTCGTCTTTACTTTTTCAATTTTTCGATTTATCTATTTCTCGATATTTCAGGTTTTCAATTCTTCAATGTTTCAGTTTTGCGATTTCTGGATTTTTCAATTTTTCAATTTTTGGTATTTCTAAATTTACGAATCTTCGATTTCTCGATTATTCGATTTTTCTACTTTTCGATTGATTTTTAGATTTTTCAGTTTTTTTGGTTTCCTTGTTTCTCAATTTTTCGACTTCTCGATTTCTCATTTTTGCATCTCCTCAATTTTTTGATAGCCTAGGTTTTTAATCCTTCAGTTTTTAAGTTTTTACTTTTTCTATTTTTCGATTTGACGATTTTTCGACCTTTCGATTTGTAGATTTTCTAATTTTTCGATATTTCACTTTTGGGATTTTTCAATATTTCAATTCTACAAGTTTTCAATTTTTCGTTTCCATATTTTTTTTTTACTTTTTTAATTTTTTGATTTTTCAATTTTTTAAATTTTCGTTTTTTCGATTTCTCCATTAATCGATTATTCTACTTTTCGATTTGTCGATTTTTATATTTTTCATTTTTTAGTGTTCCCATTTCTCGGATTTTCGACTTCTCAGTTTCTCATTTTTTCAGCTTTTGCAACTCTTCAGTTTTTTGATTTCTCAGATTTTTGATTTTTCAGTTTTTTAAATTTTCGATTTTGCGATTTTCGATTTGACGATTTTTCGATTTCTAGATTTTCCTGTTTTTCGCTTCCATTTTTCGTCTTTTGACTTTTTCAATTTTCGATTTTTCAATTTTTCGTTTTTTTAAATTATAGATTTTTCAATTTTTTTATTTATCTATGTCCCAGTTTCAATTCTTCAATGTTTCAGTTTTTCGATTTTTCCGGTTCCTGATTTTTCTTTTTTTTTTGATTTTCGGTTTTTCGATTTCTCGATATTTCAGTTTTTGTTATTTATAAATTTACGATTCTTCTATTTCCCGATTAATCGGTTTTTCTATTTTTCGATTTCTCTATTTTTGAATTTTTCAATTTTTCGACTTCTCGAGTTCTCACTTTTTTAGTTTTTGCAACTCTTCTATTTTTTTATTCCTAACGTTTTTGATTTTTTTAAATTTTCGGTTTTTCCATTTTTCGATTTGACGATTTTTCGACCTCTCGTTTTGTAGATTTTCTAATTTTTCGATATTTCAGCGCTGTGATTTGCAATTTTTCAATTTTCCACTTTTTTGAATTTGAAATTTTTAATTTTTTCAATTTTTTCCGATTTTTTAGTTCTTCGATTTTTCATTTTTGGATTTTTCGATTAACTTTTGGAATAAAAAAAATAAAATAAAAAATTCTGAAATTGTAAGATTGAAAAATAAAATAAAAACGAATAAGTATGAAATGAAATCTTCGAAAAATCTAAAAATTGGAAATCAAGAACTTGAAAACTTGAAAAATTGAAGCAACGAAAACTTGAAAAATCGAATGATTAAAAATTTTAATCGAGAAACTTAAAAATCGCAAAAGTAAAAAATCTAAAAAACGATATATTGTAAAATCAAAATATCGAAAATTAAAGAAATCGGAAAATCTGATAATTAAGAAATCCAAAAAATGCAAAATTGAAAAATTTTAAATTTGGAAAACCGAGGAACTTAAAAATCAAAGATTAAAAATTTTAAAAATTGAATAAATGGAAAATTATGAAAACGAAAAATAAAAATCAAAAACTTGAAATATTGAGGAAAAAAAAATTAAAATTAAAAATCGTGGTACCAAAAAATAGGTCGAAGGTAAATAAATTCAAATTTTTCGAAAAATTATAAGATTTGACTTTAATCAATCAGTTTTTTGAGTCACCCTGTATAAGTAATTCTCAAATGTATGAGTGCATTAATAAACGACAATTATTATAGAGTAATAATATAATATACTGCATATTTCAGAGAGGATTTATTCGGCAAAATTTTGAAGTAACGTCGTCAATTTTTTGGGAGGGGATGACCGAATAAATTTTGATTAACGATTTACCATGATTCTAAATCAAATTGCAAAATGTTGTTATACAATTTTGATTTTTTTCCAAAAACGTGGATGTCTAGAATAAAAACTGAACTGATTCATAAACCGTAGGTAATAAAAATCCAGACATGAAACGTCGAAAAAACATAAAAGTAGCCAGTCGTCCAATGGATTATCATTTTATCCCAAACTTCTTTCAAATTTGCTAACTTCAACAAATTTTTGGATGGAATAAACAGCGAACCAAATTTGAACCCGTCAACAAAACCAAAACAAAATGCATCTACAGCGCGCATGTATTGTAGATTACTTTCAACGCTGTTTTGATAATCAATAACCAGTGCATCAGTCGCAGTGCATCTCCGGTGATAACAACCAAATCAAACCACAATCGCCGCCTCTCACCATCAACAACCCATCACAACCTCAAGAAACATGCGCCCTAATTCCTCGAACTAAAAACTTCCCCGGTTTGCGTTCCACACCCCCCCACAACCACCTCTAATCGCAGCTTTTCTAGGTAAACCATCGAACCAAACCCCCACGGATGTTATTTGACTGCACACACGAAATTAACCCGTATGTGTGCGTCCGATGCGCCAATTTTCAAACGAACTTCTCGACCATCTTAAGAGCGCACGTCGTGGGTGGCCATACACAACAGAATCCAAACGCGATGGTCTATAAATGCCTCAAGTGTCAATTTGACACTTTATCGAAGTACGTGGCGGTGAAACACAGCCTGCGATGTGCCGCCGCCCATCGCTACAATGACAATGAGGCGTGCAAGTGGTTCAAATGTGAGCTGTGTTTGTTCAGAGCTCGCAAAGAACGGGGTTTGATTGTGCATATGTCGCAGAAACATGAGGATTCGCAGATTCAGTATTTTTATTACGAGCAGTGCTCGGCGAAATTCAGACGTAAAAGAAGTGGGAAACGAAGTTTTATTTAGGTTTGTTCCGTTATGTGAAAAATCGTCATATCAATTGCTACACTGTGATTACTTGAGTTCCGTTTTTGAACAAATTTAGGAAATGTTACAGGGTTGTTTGAAGCACACAATTACGGGAGAATTAAACTGGAGATATATTTTGGTAAAATGTAGAACGAAAAATTAGCTAAATTCCGACTTTATTTACATAATAAATGTGTAGATATATTTCTGTTGTTAAAATTTAAATCTGTGTGTTGTACTCGTGTCAAAGTATTAATATTTCTGCAAGAAATAATAATATACATTAATGTCGACCATCGTTTTCTATTTTCCTCACATCGAGGTGTATTCTGGGTTGCCTAACCACAACCATCGCATAAATCGATATCCAAGCACCAGTCAGTTCGAAATATAACAATTTTTAAAACGACGAAAATAAACAATCCTGTTTCAAAAATTTTTAAAAATTATTAACTAAAACGTGAATCAATTTTATCCCAACAAAACCTTTTCTTTATGGCGCAAAATCATCAACAATTTACTTTGCTTCATTCTCCCTCTGACTCCCCTTCTTCATCAGAATACTCGGAAATAAACAAGAAATTTTTCAGTGATTCGTACAACCCATCCTCACTTTCAGATTTCTTGATGATTTTATTAATGACTTCTTGTCCACTCTTTATTTGTTTTTGAAGCTCTTTTTTACAGTCTTCCTCGTCATCTACAAACAAGTGCAAATAAAAACGACCACAACAACATTTAAATAAGAACCTGAATCCACTATATCATAAAAAAGTGCTTGATCTTTTAAGACTAAGTGAATAGTAGGATATTCAATGATTATTTTGTTCCTCAAACAGTCCTTCAGTGTGTATGTGGGGTCGATTTCGTAAAATTTCTTACCACTTTTTTGTTCCGCTTTCAAGAGAATTCTTATACCTGGTAAATCTGCGGCTTGATAATACTGTAGCTTCTCCTGCATCTCCTCACTCTCCTGCTTCGCCAAATATTTACTAAGAATTGAGCTAATCCGGCCGTTTTCAGGCACCCTCTCCTCGCTCACTTTAAAATTCTCACTATTAACAAAAACCCAGTCCACATGCCACTCAATTATTTTTGTTCCAGTATTAAACATGGAGCTGTTGTTTTTGTGCCTAGCAAAAGTCCTTGGTAAAAACTTCAGCGAGATTTTCCTTTGTAAAGCCTGTTGCTGCAGCAACAAAAACCGCTACAAAGTCACAATTAATATGATTTTGATTACGAGAGTTAAAACTTTACCCTGCTTAAACCAAATCTCAAATTACACCTCGCTTTCTTTGAAACGTCCACCACCCTCGAAATCTCCTCCAAAAGCCTGTAGTCGCTCGACAAATCCAAGTTCGTGAATTTGTTCACTGGGATAAACTTCGTCCGGTCTCTCACTCCGCTGCATTCCACCTCGAGTTTGTGGATTTTGTTGCATTTTAAGGAACATGTTTTGATTTCGCATCGGGGGCAACAGTATTTGGAGTCTCGGTTGGCGCAGACTTCACATTTACCTAGTCTGAGTTCAGTTAGACAACATAACCTCAAAACAAACGTGAAAACTTACTTGTTTTTTTTAGCAAGAGAGTCGCTGTCGGGGGTGCTTGGGGGCGAAGTTGTGCTTGCTGTAGCCATGTTTTTATACTTTCACTGATAAGAATATATTTGTGAGTTTATTCTCAATTTTTATTTGAATTTCAATCAACCACAAAAATGAAGTGACACACAGGTATGACACGAGCTACGATTTGTTTTAAAAGTCCCTAAATTTAGGGAGTTTGATTCGTTTGACAGTTCTTGCCGGATGTTTTGACTACGGGGGCCGTGTGATAGATTTAAATACAAGGGGCGTTTTTTTTTTCGGTATTTTTAGATCTTGCTCGTCGTCAATTTCCAATAATTACAAAAAACGTATCCTAAACCACAGTCCTAAACTTTAATTAAGGAACGGTGGAATATAAAAAAGATAATTAGAGGAAAAGCCGGGTCTTTTTATTATATACTATGTATCAAGAAAAAAAAAAAGTAAAAAAAATAAGGCCCACCCACCCACCCCAAACCTCAAATGTAACGAATTTTTTATTCGTTGTCAGAGCGAGGGGCAGAGCTTAATTGTAAAATCAATGTTTCCGACAAAAGTTTACCATTTTCAATATGTTTTTAAATATCTTGTGAAAAGAAGATTACGTGTCTATATAAAAAAGGCTAAACTTAAGCCCCGCCCCTCTTGGCTCACGACGAATAAGGAAAAATAGTTACAATTGAGATGGGGCGGGTGGGTGGGGCTTATGTTTTGCTTTTTTTTTCTTAATATACATGGTCTTCTCTTCACAACAAGAAACCGAAAACATGTTTAAAATGGTAAATTATTATTTACACATATTAACAAAGAAAGCAAAATACAAAACCCCGCTCACCGGCCCTGGTCTCGACGACTTTTTTTATTCGTCGTGAGCCGAAGGGCGGAGCTTATTTGCAAAATCCCTATTTCTCCACAAGAATCTACCACGTGAAATATGTTTTTAAGTATCATGTTGTTCTGATGAATTTTTCATTCGTTGTCGGAACGAGGGGCGGAGCTTAATTGTAAAATCAATATTTCCCGAGTTGAAGGTAAATAAATGACCGGTTTTGAGAAAAAGATGGTACTTTTATCCTTATAAACATAAATTTATCCGTTATTTGAAAAGACATTGCGAAAAGAAGGACAAGTTGGTGATCCTGAGAAAATTTCTGAAAAGAATGATAACATTGTGACATCATTTTGTCAAGTTTAAATTTTTGGTAAAAAAGGTGGGGGCACCGGGATTAAAATTTATTTTAAAACTAGCTGACCCCGTGAACTTCGTTCACCTACAACTTAATTTTGAATCTGCAAAACCGAATGTTTTGAAATCTTGCAGATGTTTTAAACATGTGATAAGCATAATAATTTTTTATTTAAAATAATATTTACTTCCTCCAAAAAATAGATGACGTCAGCCCAAGATTTTGCAAATGAATCCTTTTTAAAATATCCAAAATAGGATGAAACTATACTTGTGATTTATCATTCCATTCATATTTTTTAGTTTTCCTTATAGGGAGTGTCTCAAAAAAATTAATCACTGAGTCAATTTATTTTATTGATTGAATCAAGAATTGCAAAACTGAATTTTGAAATATTGCAGACGATTTGAAGTTACTCTTTGACATGGTAGGTTTTTAATGAAAATATATCTGTTTATCAAGCCCAAAAACTTGATGACGTCAACTCAAGATTTTGCCGAATAAATCCTATCTAAAATGTGCAAAATATCATCAGTATATTTTCGTAATTTATCATTGCATTCATATTTTTTAGATTTGCTTTTACAGTGACTCAAAAAAAAATGTATGGATCAGTCAATTTATTTTAGAGAATAACTCAAGAGTTGCAGAAATGACATAATGAATATAATTTATAATGTTTAAATATGATAACTATAAATATGTGATAATTAAACCCAAAACCATTTTCCTAAGAACACGAGGTTAGCAAAAACAAATTAGTTTGTTTAAACATTGTTGAATTAACCCCGAACATGTACAATTTCTGAGCGAAAATATGAAAAATAATTTTTGCAATCTCATCGTGACGTACGATGATGTCACTGTCACGTGAGCTACCTGATAAAAGGTCACATTTTTCGGTCCTCTGTGTTTAGTTCTGATTTCGGTTTGGTGGCAGCAACATCAGAGTCCGTTTTGGCTTAACAGTAGGGCTCTTTTCACGAATTTCTAATTTATTATTGATAAATATTAGTGAAAATGTGTTGTATTAGTACTGTGAACACGAACGAAAATGGATATTTTTTCGAAAAGGACCGAAAACAGGGTAAGTACGACTTCAGTTTTAATTTATCGGATTCCGTGATTCGTTTGGTCGACAACGTTTACATTTTGGGCAAATTTTAGAAACGATTGAAGTCTGTTGATCAAAGCTATACATTTTTACGATATAAATTAATAAATTTTAAACATAATTAATATCACTTATAATGTTTAAATATGATAAGCATAAATATATATGATAATTAAATCGAAACCCGTTGTCCTACAAGCCGGAAATTATTAAAAACATATCAATTTGTTTAAACATTGTTAAATTATCCCCGAAAATGTGCATTTTCCCGGCCAAAATATGAAAAATAATTTTTGCAATCTCATCGTGACGTACGATGACGTCACTGTCACCTGAGCTACCTGTCCGAAGGTCACGTTTCGCGGTCCTTTGTGTTCAGTATTAATTTCTGTTTGATGGCGGCAAGATCGTCGCGTCGTTTTGCCGTAAAAGTGGGGCGTTTTAGCGAATTTCTACTTTATTATTACTAAATATAGCGGAAAATATGTTGTGTTAGTGCTGTGAACGCGAACGAAAATGGATATTTTTCCGAAAACGACCGAAAACAGGGTAAGTTGCATTTCAGTTTTAATTTATCGGATTCCGCGATTCGTTCACTCGACAATGTTTACAATTTGGGAAAATTTTCGAAACGATTGAAATCTGTTGATCAAGACTATACATTTTCACTATAAAAAAATAAATAAATTTTAAACATAATTAATATCATTTATAATGTTTAAATATGATCAGCATCAATATATGATAATTAAACCGAAACTCGTTTTCCTACAAACCCGAAATTATTAAAAACAAATCAATTTGTTTAAACAATGTTAAATTATCCCCGAAAATGTGCATTTTCCCGGCCAAAATATGAAAAATAATTTTTGCAGTCTCATCGTGACGTACATACGGTGACATCAATTTCACGTATGCTACCTGTATAAAGGTCACGTTTTGCGGTCCCTTGTGTTCAGTATTAACTTCTGTTTGATGGCGGCAAGACCGTCGCTTCATTTTGGCGTAAAAGTGGAGGGTTTTAGTGAATTTCTAGTTTATTATTAATACATATTACGGAAAATATGTTGTGTTAGTGCTGTGAACACGAACGAAAATGGATATTTTTCCGAAAAGGACCGAAAACAAGGTAAGTACGACTTCAGTTTTAATTTATCGGATTCCGTGATTCGTTTATTCGACAATGTTTAAATTTTGGAAAAATTTTCGAAACGATTGAAGTTGGTGGGTCAAAGCTATACATTTTCGCGATATAATTAAATAAAATTTAAACATAATTAATATAATTCATAATGTTTAAATATGATAACTATTAATATATGATAATTAAACCGAAAACCATTTTCCTAAGAAAACGAGGTTAGCAAAAAATTAGTTTGTTTAAACATTGTTAAATTAACCCCGAAAATGTTAAATTTCTGAGCTAAAATATAAAAAATAATTTTTGCAATCTCATCGTGACGTACGATGACGTCACTGTCACGTGAGCTACCTGATAAAAAGGTCAATTTTTCCGTCCTCTGTGTTTAGTTTTGATTCCGGTCTGGTAGCAACAACACTGGAGCTCCGTTTTGGGTTAAAAGTAGCACGTGTTCGCGAATTTCTAATTTATTGTGAATAAATATTAGCGAAAATGTTTTGTGTTAAGTGCTGTGAACACGAAGGATAGTGGATATTTTTCCGAAAAGGCCTAAAATCATGGTAAGTACGATTTGAGTTTTAATTTATTGGGTTCCGTGAATTGTTTACTCCACAATGTTTAACTTTTGGGAAGATTTTCGAAACGATTGAAGTTGGTTGATCAAAGCTATACATTTTCGCGACATAAATAAATAAATTTTAAACATAATTAATATCATTTATAACGTTTAAATATAATAAGCATCAATATATGATAATCAAACCGAAACTCGTTTTCCTACAAACCAGAAATTATTAAAAACAAATCAATTTGTTTAAACAATGTTAAGTTATCCCCGAAAATGTGCATTTTCCCGGCCAAAATATGAAAAATAATTTTGGCAGTCTCATCGTGACGTACGGTGACGTCAATGTCACGTGAGCTACCTGTATAAAGGTCACGTTTTGCGGTCCTTTGTGTTCAGTATTAATTTCTGTTTGATGGCGGCAAAATCGTCGCTTCATTTTGGCGTAAAAGTGGAGCGTTAATTAGCGAATTTCTAGTTTATTATTAATACATATTACGGAAAATATGTTGTGTTAGTGCTGTGAACACGAACGAAAATGGATATTTTTCCGAAAAGGACCGAAAACAGCGTAAGTACGACTTCAGTTTTAATTTATCGGATTCCGTGATTCGTTTATTCGACAATGTTTAAATTTTGGAAAAATTTTCGAATCGATAGAAGTTGGTGGGTCAAAGCTATACATTTTCGCGATATAATTAAATACAATTTAAACATAATTAATACAATTAATAATGTTCAAATATGATAACTATCAATATATGATAGAGATGTACCGACTGTAGGTCTGACCGACTAACCGACTAGCCGATTGTTCGGCCAGTAAAAGCCGACTAGTCGGCCGACTGTTCGGCTTTGCTAAAACCGGTTTATAAATGCGACAGACAGTATGTTTTTTTTTCTATTTCTCTGACTACCTTAAAAATTTGTTTTATTTTGTGGGTATTGTTGGTGATTTAAAAGCGACGGTACGGTTTTCAGATTTTATTTCGTTCTTTACTGTTCGAGAGTGCCAGGGAGAAGAAGGAAGGGTGTTTAAAATGGTACACAGGTAAGCTCGGTTTCGAAGAGGTGGAAGTAGGTAAAGAAGAAGTTTAGAAAATTCTAGCAGGGAAAAGAGAAAGTATGTAGGAGCGTAGGGCAGGTAGACGAAAGATAGGAAGTATTTACATTTATACAATTATTATGAATGCGCTCAGGTTGAACACCTGATTTTGTGGGAACTGTTGTTCCTACAATTTTAATAAAAGGAATAACTAAAGTTCCTTTGTTTTCCAAAAAATGTATTAAATTTGTTTCGATAATTTTAACATTTAAT